ATACCTTAGAAATATATTAGATACCCAAGCACAAGCCACTGCAGGTTTGAAACGACCCTAACGCTCATAAAATATTTTTTGCGACCCATACGTGATACCCAAATAGGGTGGACCCGGTAAAGTACCAGCTTTTTTCAAATCATAACGAAATCACAAAATATTGTTCGAGCATTTTGTTAGTGCGTTATGAACTTTTAAGAGGCATCGTAGATTTGATTCATTTCATACTCGTTTCAGTAAAATATACTGTGAATTTGTATTTCTTTTGTATATGTATCTCACCTTTCCCCAGCTCCTAGCCACATTGGCTCCTTATCTGTCAGGGATACTCCGATATAGGCAAATGCTCCCTGTCCTTTCGGAAGTGTTCGTGTTGCGATATAGGTCCTTCCTTTTTTTTCTCCACCTGCGTCCTTGACTCCGACGTCAGCGTCGTACTCTGTGTCATTCAACCATTCTGGCGGCTATAAAATTCATTGAATGTGGGAGTTTCATCAAACGGCTTTGTAAAGTATACAGGACGTATGTATCAAAAGAGATTCTAGGAGGAAAGGGGGGGGGTCTATTCATGTCTTAACTGTACAATAATTTCGAAATATTATCCATTATCCTCAAAACCCAAATAATAAAACATGGCAATGTACTGTTATTACCTGATTCAATTTTATTTCTACCGAATTTTTTGATAAGGAATTTTTCAAAGTATGTTTTTCTAATACGAGTGGAGATGTGGATAAAGAGATCAAAGCGAAATGTCTCGTACAATAGAACAGGATGCAGCCACAGTATAGCTAAAAGCAGTAGTCCCAGTATCCCCTCTTTTTAGTAATGAATCATAGCGCGCATGATCGAATCGTAGCAGGTAGTTCTTTTACAGTGAAGTTCGAGGTGTACTGAGTTGAACGATGAGCAGCCAACCTCCTGCTGCCGGTGAAGATGTGCATCCGCAGCCGATGTCCTTGAATCCAAACGGAATGACGAGACAAGTGTCCTGTCATCAGCAAAGCAATATATTGGATTCTTGGGTATCTCCAATGAGTCGTAGATATACAATAAAAAGAGGGTTGAAGACAATATGGATCCCCGGGGAACACCAGTGTTAATAGTAAAAGTGCTCGAGAGATATCAATCGACGACCACTTGCAGGGAACGTTCTTTGAGAAAGCTGAAGAGCCATACACAAAAATGATCCTACAAGCCATAGCATCGAAGTTTGGCCAGCAAACCTCCATGCCACACACGGTCAAATACCTTAGAAATATCAAGCGCAACAGCTATTGACTCTCCATGTTTCTCGATTGCGTTATTCCAAATATGGGTGACAAACGATAGAAGGTCGTCTGTTGATCTTTGTTTCCGAAAGCCATATTGATGATCGCTCAAGATGTTGGGAATAGGCTGGACGCGAGCAGCCTTTCAACAAGAAGGAAAACTCCCTATCTTGTAAGACAGGTTGAAAATTCTGAAGAATAGTAGTGCGAGTTCATTTGCTCACTTTTTAAGTACGATGACGGTCACTTCATCAAGACCAGACGCCTTGTCGATATTGAGCTGTATCAAAATTCGCCTGACTAGACGCCATCAAAAAATAATTTCCGGCTTTGTGGACTCTAGTGTGAAAATAGTGGCTGGTGGCTTTCCCAAAAAATCGACTGTGGAATGGGACG